TTATGTAAAATGTATGGTACATATATTCTTATTGTGATATGTAAATAAAAAAAATACACGAAAATGAAATAAAGTTATGAAAACCTCGAGGGTTGAAGACGGAGTCAACGTATCGACTGCCGGCGGAAATGAGACGACCGAATCAACCTGAGCCTAATACGGTCGTTTCACAATAGTGCGCCTCCAAGAGTTTGCAACGTGTTGGCCAATTACAATGCGCAAAATCGGTCGACCCAATGCGTGTTTGGAAAAGGTCGACTGATTTCGCGCATTGTGATTGGCCAATGCGTTGCAAACTCTTGGAGGCGCACTATTGTGATTCGCCCATTTTGTTCAACATAAGTAAACTCTTCTGCACAAATAGTGTCGTGGAGATAGACATTCCTAATTTATTTTTTATACAATGTACCTACATGTAGTTCGTCTTTCAATGTTTAATGTTAGTAGTCTTTTCAGCAAAAATTAAGTCTGAGAGACCTTCAGACCTTGGTTCATTTCTACATCATGTAATTTTCATGTGCTGATCCAAAATGCAAACTTGTTTGCTTACTTGTACCAGCTGATGAGAAAGCACCCTCATGAGACAGCTTCCTGAGTAATGATGTCACAATGGTTCATCATGATTGGACCTTAATGTCTGACAACATTTTCGTCACAGAAGCAACATGAGCTTATTGGCTTGCACCATATTGTACCCACAATCCTGTGCGTATGGTCTGCATAATGCTGTGACAAGACGATTGGTTTCTTGATTTACAGAACAGGAAGGGCTGATATATTCTTTCAGTGCATGTTGTGGAGGCAATGTTTGGATAATGAAATAACAAGATTTTGCAAGAATAATTTCTGTGGTAAGGGCTCAAATTATTGTAAGGATAAGTATGGTAGTTCATGTTTCTAAGTTTTGATTCGGTTTAATCGGATTACAAACATGAACGTAACTTTTAGACCTTTTTAATATGGCGTGGAAATCATTTGGATGTAATAAAGTATTGATCTGGTGTGTTTTCTTTCTTTATATTTATTTACCAATATGCCAATCCAATTTTTTTTTAACTGAAAAAAAAAGGCCATTTGGATTTGTTGGGTTGGCTTTATAATTCCTTGAAAGCTGCGTTGGACAAACTTTTCCTGGCAGCAGGTGCACGTGCAGTACAGTGCAATTGAAAGTTAACCCTGAAAGGGGGAAAAATTTTCACACTTTTTCCCCTCTCAAGAACTGAATATTCATTACACAAAATGTGAAATGTGTAAAGTTTTCCCCTTAGTGTGAAAATTTTTCACACTTTTTTCACCCAAGTGGGAAAAATTTTCGCACCTTTTTCACACAAGTGCGAAAAATTTGCACACCTTTTTCACTCAAGTGGGAAACATTTTCACACCTTTTTCACACAAGTGGGAAAACTTTTCACACCTTTTTCACACAAGTGGGAAATTTTTTTCACACCTTTTTCACAGTGGGAGACATTTTCACACCTTTTTCACATGGGGAAAAATTTTCACACCATTTTCACACAAGTGGGAAACATTATTCACACCTTTGAAAACTGAAATTACATGTGCATGGATATGTTCTCATGGTCCTCAAAATGCGTATCTCCCAGTATGGAAAAAAGCGGATCATCAATCTAAAACAGAAATATGTTCTTTCGTTTGCTGAAATTCGAAGGAGATTGCTAGAGGAAGACGGCATAAAAATTTCAAGGCAATCTATTTCTAGGTTTTGGCAAAAATATGAGGCAACTGGCCAATTCAAGTCTGGCTATGGTGGCGGTTGGAAACCAGCATTGAACGCAGAACAGCTAAATTATCTTGATTCCGAAATTGTTATTTTCCTTAATATGACGTGAAAGATACCAAAAGTTGTAAATCTGATGAAGAAACACTGATTTAGGAGGGGAAAAAATACAAGACTTTTTCTGTCTTTGTACAGCAGGGCTGCGGTGGCGTCCTGTTTCCCGAACTTGAAAGTCGCACCGTCGTACATTTTTATCTGTTGACGACTTATAATGGTGTTTAAACTTTAAGTTTCAAAACTAGTGTCCAAACGCTGGCACTTAGCTGCCGTTTCAGCCATTTCTTCTTCGTGCTGTTTTTTTAACTCTCTTGTGGGACGGCATGATGATGTATCGATATTACATGTACATGTATATCACTGACTGTTTGATGGTAAACGATATCTGAATTTGAAATCTGGGCACTGTAGTGGGAACACTGCAGTGGAAAAAATTTTCACGACACGTGTATGATTAAACAGGGCTCGAATTTCATGAAAAAAAAGCACTAGACAGCAGGTCTAGTAACCGAAAAATCTTACTGGACCTGAACTATTTTTACAAGACCTGTGTCATAAATAAGTAAAAAAAACCAACAACATTTTGCACTACATGTATGTGACAGGAAGACAACAAAATACTACATGTATTTACGAGTCGCCCGTTTTGTGTGTGCACTTGGCTAGTTCCCTGGAAAATTAGTCTAATTCTCTTGCAGGGGCACAGCAGTCCTTCATGTAAAGAAAATCCAGGAGAGCTATAAATGCTTGTTTTTTCAAATCTTTGAGGAGAGCAAATGGATTAAAATCCATGGATAAACGACGGTAAACATTGTTTTTGTTTTGTTTTGAATATAAGGATTTTTTCAAGGGGCTGCAATTATTATTAGTTTTTGCATAATATGCTCAAGTGGCTTAACTTCTTTCGTTTTTGTAACTGTAAGACAGGGTAAAATTTATATTAAAAAAAATATCTAAATGGAGATTAATACAAGGTTTGAATTCTGCTACGCTTTCATTTTTCAATACAGTTGTCAGTTGGTTCATCAATTAATTAATCTTGGAAAATGGAGTTAATAAACGGCACATTAACGTGATAAAGCAACTGAATACTTGTTTTCAGATCCGTTAAAATTATATGAAAATGTTCAGCCTGAACTATTTCCATTGCACTACGAAAGCTATACAAAAAGGGCCTCAAAAATGACAAAAACTTGCCTTAAGTGTTAACGAAAATATCTGCCGTCGATAATCTTAAAAATAATGGAAAATGCAGGTCAATTATACCATGTGCACAATGCTAGCTACAGCGAGAAACTGGCTAACAATGTCTGAACTTCGCTTGGTACGAACGTGCGATGATGCACTGTGTGTTGTGGACCGGCAGTGGGCCGGCATTGAGCCTCGTTTATTGGTATGTGATTTCGGTGAAACTCGCTGCATCGTTTCACTTCATATACCAGTAGTATTTCCTCGAAATAAATTCACGAACACGGGAAATACATACACAGACAAGAGAGATCAACTTCTGTGAGTATAAGCTTGCAAAGATCGTCTTTCTCCATCGATGTTTTCTTGGCATTTTCACTATGTCTTTTCCGCACCGTCCGGCCTGCATGCAACTGTACTGCAGTGTACATGCACGTACCGCGCCAACTATTGCATTGACTGGTTACCGCATTTCCATCTTGCCAGTGCGCAGCGCAGCGGGAACCAGTCACTGCTGCAATAGCACGTACAGGCCCACGTGTTTTCATACATCAAGCAGCTCTTTATGTACGTTCTGTATACGTGCAACCATGTTGCAACATACTACGAGGTAGGTACCGGCAGCTACATGTACTTTCATCACAGCGATTTCGCAACGTTTTTGCGTCCCCTTTCGCACGATTTTCGCACATTTTTCGCACATTGATTTTGTACTAACCAATTTTTCCCTCGGCGTTCACAATTTTTTTCGGACCGCGTTCGCAAAATATTCGCACCGTTTTTGCAAAACGTCCGCATTCACAAATTTTTCGCACCGCGTTCGCGCCGTTTTCGCACATTCGCACATTTTCACTGCGAATTCGCAAGGGGTAAAAGTCACGCTCAAAATGCGAAATCATACTGCGCATGTGAATGCGAATTTTTTCCCCAAATATTCCCATTCCATCTCGCAGTGTTAGGTTTCAATTGCACTGTACTGTAGATCTCGTTGTCCATGTCAGCTTGGGTGCAGATCGGATGTCATGTACTCGGTGATTGTTCACGGCTTGTGGTTTCTTCTATTGCCACGTTTCGGCACGTTTTCACAGGCCTTTGTTGGTAACCACTGCGCGTGATTAGTGAACACACAGTATCAGCAAGATTAAACAACCAACTTAAACCCATTGTTGACAGTAATAATGTTGCTTTCAGATTAGGTCTGAAAGAAAAACAAAAAAGCCGTGACGGAAAGCTTTTGTAGTTTTAATTGTTTTGTTTTTTCGTAATAAATGAGTCCCTAACAATGCTTGTTTACCCAACGGGGTCGCCAAAACGGTTCGTTGTAACAGGAATATCGTAGTGTCCGTTTTCGTCTTAAGCGATTTTTTTCCCCATAGACATGTGCACAATTTTGCTGGGACCGAAGATGTGTGTTTGTTATAACCCCAATTTCGTCCTTACCGTTTTTGCTATAACGGGAAACTACTGTTTATGTAGCTCCTATTTTACTGTGCTGGTCTTACTTTTTTATTCATTCACTGAAATATTTTATTTCCAACCTTGCAGCCCAACCACCATGATACATCCTCTTTTCTCTCAGTTGGCTGTGGTGTTTTTCTAAGCTCTTGTTTTTGCTCTCATTCATAGCTATATGCTAGTTCGCGTTGTCCACCTTCCTTTGAGTTATAAATCTTTGATTGATTTGGGGATGGATCAGTGACTGTTTTTTGAGTTTTAGAAATACATGTTTAACCCAATTTATCAATACTCATAAATACCTGCGACAGTTTACCCATTCCTATTGGCTGAGAGCCCTCGACAAGTCCACTTTTCCCTCATGATTGTGTATTTCCATGTGTTTATCAACTGTTTATTACTGTTTATTACATATTAAAAGGTCCACTTCATGGTGCAAACAGCCCTCCCCTTCCACCAGACTGGCAACGGCCCTAACATTTCTCCACTTTTGTGATGTCAAGTTAGAATATTTTTGACTGCACTTTATTTCTGATTGACAGTTTTCTTTTTCTTCCTCAAGGAACTCACTCACCTGATAAGACTCCCAAAGTTGAAACATCTGGGTTTAAAAGATCCATTGTATGCTCCAAACCCTGTGTGCTACCTCTGTAACTATTCAACACATGTTTTGTATCATCTGCCTTTCATTGAGAGGTTGGACTCATACGATGTTTCTGATAAGAGTCTGAGAGAGATGGCAGAGGTAAGATAATCTTTTTTTTCCTTTTTTTTTCATTTCAAAGGTGCTTTAACTTGAAAATTCGAATGAACATCATTTACTTGTAAGCCCTGTTTCCAGACTGTGTGCATATTGGCCCTAGAGAGGACAAGAGGAAACACATGGGTCTTTTTCACTCAACTTATCTGTAGAGCAATCTACTTATGCATGTTTCCTAAACCGGCAGGTATTTTCCGCTAAGAGTTTTATACAATAGCGCCCTCTGGCACCCTACCCATTATACCCCGCAGCATACGTGCCTCGTGAGCATCCTTTTTTCTCTTAGCGACAGGTCAAGTATGACGTGTGTTAAATAACTCTTGCTTTTCATCGTCAATGCACTACCCTTTTATTTGCCTAACCCTTACAGAAATTCTGGCAAGCTTGTCTGCAAGCTTGCTCATGTCAAGCTTGCGGACAAGCTTGCGGACAAGCTTGCGGACAAGCTTGCGGACAAGCTTGCGGACAAGCTTGCGGACAAGCTTGCGGACAAGCTTGCGGACAAGCTTGCGGACAAGCTTGCGGACAAGCTTGCGGACAAGCTTGCGGACAAGCTTGCGGACAAGCTTGCGGACAAGCCTGCGGCTGCGGACAAGCTTGCGGACAAGCCTGCGGACAAGCCTGCGGACAAGCTTGCGGACAAGTTTGCAACAAGCTTATTGCAAGCTTGTCTGCAAGCTTGGGGCAAGCTTGCCTGCTAGCTCACACAGGTTTTTAGCTTGCAGGCAAGCGTTCAGGCAAAGCTTGCAGGTAATCTGGCAGGCTACAAAATTCTGAACTGACATTTACTGTTCCTTTTTTACCATGTACATGCATGAAATGTCAGGGCATTAAGTCATTTCCACATAAGTTAAAACTCAAATTTATTAGATTAAACAAAAATAAATTCCAGTCGGAATCAATAAGGTATATGTACCTTGCAGCAACTTGATGTATTTAAAACTATTTTTGAACTGCAAAATATCAAAATGGTTTATACTGTTCAAGACAATTTTGAGGTTAATCTTTTTTAACATATTTTTTTCTAGAAGATGTCTTGTTAGAAGATTCCAGGCAACTTGTGGTTGACTTTCTATTGATGATGAAGCACGCCATTAATTGATACTATTTTTCAGAGCTTAATTGGGCAGGAATCTTGTTTGCACTGTTGACTTTGTATCAATTGATTATGAAGTCTTGGGACAAATTGTAAATTAATCATTTTGTAAACAACAAATTTCTACCAACAAAAATTGAAGTCAAAGAATGTTGAATCAGCCAGTGATCCTTAATTGGGAAACAAATTGTCCATAAACAGTTGTCCATAAACAAAAAGTGACTCTATGATTGCTGTTTGTTTTTGGTAATATCACAACAGGCATCAACATCTTTCCATTGTCACTATGCATCCAAAAATTATGAAATCCAAACCCATCCTAAAGTAAACTAAGGCTATAACCATTTGTTTTCACCACTCGAAGCATTCAATATTTGTATAATGCCAAAGTGCTGGGAACATATAAATGTGTACAAATGCCGTGGGCAAAATGGAAAAAAATCTTAATGAAAACAAAGGCTGTTTTGGCAAATGTGCTGAAACAGCCAAATATGAAGAGAAAAAAACGAAGAAATAACATGAGACATGTAAATAAAGTACTTTGAAAAGTACATCCAAGTTTTGTTGTTGCCTTATTAGTGTTAAGGGAGAAGAAAGTCTCATTGTATTGGGGTACATAGTAATGGGTTCAAATACATGGTCTTCAAAAGTGGAAATGGTATGAGAACAACTATTTACAGAAGAAATGTATTTTATGGAATTGATAAAAAAAGGTCCAATAGTACGGGGTAAATACTAGCTGGTCCAAATATTCTTTTTAAAAAGTAGGGCATAAAATATTCTATTAAAACGACTAGATGTAATACTAAAAGATCAGAAGTTCAATCATACCAAGTCACACCAAGAGAAGAAATAATTCAATATTACTAAACATTGGCAGATTTTTTTTGTTTTTGGTAGGAAAAGAACAATTGAAATACAAACTATATATTTTGTTTGAGGTGAAACTGAAAAGTAGCACGGGGAATGAGCTTTAAAAGTTGTGTATTCTAACATTAGAGCGTGTTTGTTTTTATGCTTGTTAACAATATATCTTTAACATTTTCCACCTGTTAGGCCACTGTTGTGAAGAAGAAGATGTACTACAACATGCGTGTCAAAACATTTCAGCGTGTATTAGCAGACATGACTGATTGCATCACTCGAAAGAAGCGGCTGCTTACACATGATACCAGAGACAGACTGAGAACTTTAAGCTTCAACATTAAAGAGGTACGTGTACTTTCCTTAAAATGAACAATTCCAAACAAACAATAATACCAAACAAGTCACAAAATGCTGGTTTGGAGCTGGTGCTGAGACTGCAATAGTTGCATTGTTATGATAAGAGACTTTTTAGCCTTAAAGCTTTTGTGATCAGAAGGGATTTTTTTACACAAAAGTGTCCATATACGTGTACATGTGCATTTTTTTCCTGCTTGTTCATCAGGCTGTTCGGGCATCCATTTGTTTTACAGGTAATGCCTTTGTTGTTTAATATTTTAGTACAGTTTCTTTAAGGCTGAAGGGTTATCCAAGAAAAGGGTTATCCAAAAGTAAACTTGAATATTTTGATGGCCAAAAGGTCACAATTGAAAGTGATTACCATGAGAAATACAAAGTAACTTGGTCTCTCATGATGGTGACCTAGACTGCTTCTCAAACCCAGGCTTTGTCTACTAAACTGCATGCCAGATGCTGGACACAGAGACAGAATCAGGGATTTGAGAAATGGCTTGAAATGTTTGATTGGTGAACGGATTGAATTTTGTATTTACCACTGATGCCTAAAATTGTTTGACATTTAGACATGTCATGTCAAAAGCTGTTATATAATCAGCATCACCCGGGGGTAGGAGTTCTTTGGGTGTAAATTTATAACAAGTTGGTGAAAGATAAGAATGATTAAAGTTAATTAATTTGCAATGAGTATGCGATGAAAAGAAGATAAGTGAATGACGGATAAAGGTTAACTAAAATATTATGAATAAAGCTCACAACAATAATTAAACCGTTTTGGTAGTTGTTTGGATAGTTGTACTTAAGATGGCGGCTGGTCAGCAGACCCCATACTGGGCTCTGACATTTTTCTCAGTTTGTGCTGCTTCTAGCCTGCTTTGCAGTGTACATCGCACACCATATGAAGGAGTTTGTCCTGCTGATTTCACTGGTCTGTCTACTCATGTGATTGAGGGCACTGCAAGGGAGTTCTTGACAGATCATGCGTTGGACTTATACAGTCTTCAGTCAGTGTTTCAGCATAAGAGTGTAAGCAACTACAGCTCACACGACACACTCGACCGACTCTATTATGACCTGCATGACAGCTTTTGTGTGGTGCCCACCAGCTATTGTTCCCTCATGTGCATCTTTACCAAGCATCCTGTTCCATGTGCATGCACAATATGGCTGAACTATGAACAACACGAACAACTTATCAGGACTGATAGGAAAACTAAGTTTGGAAATGCCCCAGTGTCTTACTACCACAACTCAACAGCATCATTTAATATCTTATTAACTGTGTGTGGAGAAATAGAAGATAACCCTTGGCCTGTGAAGGATCCCTGTGGTAGCTGCAGTCGTCCAGTGAAAAGTAATCAGAGATCTCTTCTCTGTGAAGACTGCAACAAATTTTGGCATCAGAAATGCATCCCTGAAATGTCAATCACCCAGTGCAATGAGTTAATATCTAGCACTGTGGACTGGTTCTGCCCATGCTGTGTGTCATCATCATCCTTCATCATCCTTCGGCTGCGGAGCAGTCGAGTACAAGCTTCTTCCATTTACCGCGATCATGGGCAAGTGTTGCGATTTGGTCTGGTCGCAGCATGCCATCACTATCTCCAAGCAAGCGTTGAATATAAGTTAGGTATGATGTGCGTTGTCTTCCTGGTTTCCGTCTCCCCTGGGGTGGTGTATAAAGGGCATACACTTTTGCAGGCTCATCGTCTGGCATGCGGAGTATGTGCCCAAGGAACTTGAGCTGCCGAGTTCTTACACGCTCCACAAGAGGGTTTGAGTTGGTCATAGTATAGATGGTGGCATTGGGGACATGGTCGGTGCGCTTGATGCTCAGCATAATGCGGTAGCAAAAGCGTTTATTTTACTTTCCATGTCTTTGGAGATTACCCAATACATAGAGGAGAACTGTGATGCATGTTGTGTTGAACAACTTCATTTTGGTGATAATTGGTAAGGAGGGGCTTCTCCACAGCTGTTCCAACTTCCAAAAAGTCGTCCAGGCCAGTGCCTTGCGTCTTTTGAGGTCAGTTGCGCTGGATGCTACCATGGATCCCAGATATTTAAAATCAGTCACATGTTTTATTGGACTGCCGTGGACATGAAGTGAGGGGGAAGGCTCACGATATGACATAATGTACTCTGTCTTGGGTACATTAATTATGAGGCCAACGCCTTCTGCAACTGAAGCTGTCATGGATAACTGTGCCTGGGCCCGTGGTAACGTAGACTAAAAAAGGGCGATGTCGTCAGCAAAGTCAAGATCATTAAGCTGTTTTGCCGGATATCTCCTAGATAGACGTGGATGAGTTACGACTCCAGAATCCAAACCAGCGGTGGCTTTGTTTAGAAGGTAGTCAACAACTATGATGAACACAAAAGGAGCAAGCACATCCCCTTGCAGAACTCCAGTGGATACATCAAAAGGCTCTGAGATTCTTCCACCCACCATAACAGCACTTCGAGAGTTAACATACATGGCTTGTATGGCGCTAACCATTGCTTCGGGTATGCCATAGTGGCGTAATATGGAAAACATTACAGCTCTGTTGATGGAGTCAAAGGCTTTCCTGAAGTCAATAAAGGTGACAGCAAGAGGAAGTTGGTGGTCTTTGAAGCCTTCCATTACCCTTCGAAGGACGTGAATCTGCTGAGCACAACTGCGTCCCGGACGGAAGCCAGCTTGGTTGCTCCTCAGTATTGGATCAACGACGGGGCGAATCCTGTTGAGCAGAATTTTGTTGAAAACTTTTGCAGCTATTGATGTGATACTGATCCCGCGGTAGTTAGTCATGAGAGAGAGATCCCCTTTCTTGGGCACTGGTACAATGACATTTATGGTCCACTGATGCGGTGGTGATAATGTTGTAAACGCCTCAACACAGAAACTATGGATGGCGTCTATCATCTGATCACCTCCACTCTGTAGAGCTTCAGCAGTTATTGCACAATCAAGACCCGCTGCCTTGTTGGTTCTCAAAGATTTGATGGCTTTGGCTGTCTCATACTGTGAAGGAGAGTCGGTGATGGTGGGCAAGTCCTTCACAGCAGGTGGGGGTAGCTCCGATTAAGGGCCATTTTCATTATTGAGTAAGGAGCTGAAATATTTGCTCCACTCTGAAAGCAGTTCTGAATCACTAGCAGGGACTGTTCCATCTCTCTTTCTGACTTTGACACTTGTTCTTTTGTCATTCCCCGAGAGGTCATGGATAATTTTCCATGTAGTGGTGTAGTCTCCCATTTCATCTGCTAGCTTGAGATCATCAATCTGTTTGTTGAGTGCGGCATTTTCATCCCTCTTGTATGATTCGTTCAGAGAGGTGTTAAGTTTCCTCCACTTCTCCCTTGATTGTTGTGATTTTGATATTGAGTACCTCTTTTTGGCCTCATCTCTTTCATCTTTGAGTTTCATGGTTTCTTCTGACACCCAGCTTGGCATTTCACATGGTCTGCGTTCCCCGATCACATTTTCAACCACTTCCTTTACAGCGGTTTCGAAGCTGTCATACCATTCAGAAATTGTTGAAGTGATGTCATTCTGGAGTGCTTCAAATCTGTTGGATAGCTCGAGTTGAAACTTCTCCTTAATGGCAGGGTCTTGCAGTCTCTTCCAGTTGTTTGTTCGTCGAGATGGCCTACCCTTGCTAGTTCTAAGACTGGTGACTAGGGTAATGCTGACAATGCGATGGTCAGAATCCAGTTCAACTGTGCTGTAAGCACGGCAATTCCGTAGAGAGTTAACCCACTTGTTGTTTATCAAGATGTGATCCAGCTGGTGCACAGAGCCTGAGGGGTGACGCCATGACCAGAGTCGTGATCTAGGCTGGGGGAATCTCATTTGTGCTGGACGCAAGTTGTTTTCTTCACACATGGTGACTAGCCGCTCACCATTGTCATTTGTGGTCTCATAAAAGCAGTGTCGTCCTACAACTGTCGGGTGATGGGAATGGCTGTCTAGTCCAACTCTAGCGTTGAAATCACCTAGGACTAAGTGGATGTTGTGCCTCTTGACTTGGTCCAAGTGGTCATTCAGTGAAGTGTAGAATGCATCCTTGTCAGAAACGGCGGAGCACTCCGTTGGAGCATACACAATGGTAATGGTTAACTGGGGATTTCCAGACGACGCTTATCAGGACCAACGGTCCGTGATGACTTTCCGGTTTCCCGCTGGCCCGTCATGGAGTCATTAGTAGACGGACGCCCAGCTGCCTTCATTGTAGTATTTAGATTCATTCTTGTAGTTTTCGTAATCGTTTCTTTGCCAGACAATATTTTAGTCCGGGTCTGGCAGAACTGAATGGGTGATTGGCCCTGAACAGCCTGTTTCCGGTGGCATACAGCGGCCGAGCTCTACTGGATATGATGTAGGTCGCCCCTGGCCAGGAACACGTTAGCCAGTAGTGGAAATGTGACTTGTAGTGACGTGTTCAGCACTTGGGTGGGCAACCAACCAAGGCTACGAGCCCCACCCGCCCGAGTTTAGAATCAGAGTATCACTCTCCTAGGTGAGCAGCCAACCAAGGCTGACGAGCCCCACCTACCCGGAGTGGTCTGGTTTTAAGGCGCCAGAGATCCGCCTGCACACCTCTGCCCTCAGTTGGAAACAGGGATCGGCACGAGAAGCCGGGCAGTAGGAGTTTGAATAGGAGAGGCTATTGGAGACGCAGACCAAATGGGACATTTCATGGATATGGGGAGGCTCAAAACCCCATACCGCCCCCGTCATTCCTAAACCTTTGCTGTGTGTACAAGCTGCAATTTTCATCATGCTCTGACAGTTCATTTCATGAGGAGTTTGGCAGTGATCATGAGCTCAATTCTACAGTGGAACCTGATAATAATTGGAACAACTATCCTATGGACTTCCCTGCATCTTCAAAGACTTACAGGAATTCCATCTCCGGTCTACTTCTCAACGCTCGTAGTATCTGTAGTAAGCAACAGGACATGCAGTAATTTCTGGAGCTTCATCCTGTGGACATTGTCTGCATCACAGAGACATGGCTGTCAGCAAATAATTTCCTAAGCATACCTGGATATTCTACTATCCGACGTGACCGGAATAACCGAGGTGGTGGCATCATGGCAATAGTGAAGGATCCGTTGCTTCTGGCTATCTCGACCACCTTAACCCCACTGACACGGAGGTAACTTTCTTATCACTGACCCTAAGACACTCAAAATGGCTTGTTGGAATTGTGTACCGCCCCCCCCCCCAACGCAGATGTAACATTTTTTGATAAACTTCAAGATGTCTGTGACAACCTCCAATCAGATCTTCATAACTTTGAAGGAATGATACTGCTAGGTGACTTCAATATAAACTGGTGTACAGAATCTTCCTCACTGACGAATTTGCAAGGAGAAATCAACTCAATAGGCCTCATTCAACTGGTTGATGAAGTGACCCGGCCATCAAATAATTCTTCATCGTCTGGGACTATCATCGATCTTATTCTCACAAACCGGCAGGAGAAATTCCGTTCAGTAGAAACAGTAGCAAATCCAGTCAGCAGTGATCACCATGCAGTGTTTTTCTCATTTGTTGCAAATAGAACTCCCCCTGAACCCAAAATCCTCCGCTCATTTATGCAATACAAAAAAGCTGACTTCTCACATTTAGAGACAGTTATACATCTTGCGCCAGGGACTGCATTCATGAACCACAGTGATCCCATGGAATCATGGGAGGGGTTCATGGACATATTGGATGCAGCGATTCGAGACAGCGTTCCCAGGAAGACATGCAATCGTCGCATGTCCCCATGGATAACACCTGCACTGAAACACCTCATCAAACAGAAACAAAAACTTTTTGTCAAGGCCAAATCAAGTGGTGACAGCAGTGACTGGAGCAGTTATAAACTTATCCGTAATGAGGTGAAAAACAAAACTAAGAAGGAGTACTGGAAATACATCAATGACTTGTTTGCTCTACCGGAAAACAAACGTAGCTTTTGGAGCTTTGTTAAGGACCTTAGAAAATCCAAATGTCCACCTGCGTTCAGGACAGCCAAGACACAGCTCTACAAGCCTGCCGATATTTGTCATACATTCAACAAGTTCTTCACCTCTGTCCATACTCCAACGGAGGCTCCTGCAGAGACCCCATCATCTTGTGACTTCCCAATTCCAGAGATTCACCCCACAACAGTGAACCTTGGCTGGCCTGTTAACTTGCTGTCCAACTTAAATCCTCATAAAGCAACAGGTCACGACGCTATACCACCAAGAATTTTAAAAGCAAATGCATCATCAATTGCTCTGCCTCTGATGCAGAGAGGGGCGTTGTCCCAGCAGATTGGAAACTCTCACAAATATCTCCGGTCTTCAAGTCTGGCAGTCGTACCGATATCAAGAATTACCGTCCAGTAGTGTTGACATCAATCATCTGCAAGTTGTTGGAGAGGGCTGTTGCTGACAACATCCACAACCATGTATCATCACTCTGCCTCGGCAACCCCCAGCAACATGGTTTCACTGCCTCCAAATCATGTGTCACCCAGCTTGCAAACACAATCCATGATTGGGTAACTATCTTGGATAAACCGCACCCTCCTCGACTCGATGTAATTTTCCTCGATTTTAGTGAGGCTTTTGATGTTATGCCTCACCATATGTTACTTATTTTACAGTCTCCTGACGATGACTACAGCAGGCTAGTCGAAACGTTGAGACCAAAGACAAGTTCATTTAGAACTTACAGCAGGACTGTTCTTAACAGAACAAAAACTACTTAGCAAAGTTGATAATAAGCAGGACAAGTTCTTCTCAGAACTAATATCTTCTAAGCAGTAGTTATTACCACATGGGTGTTACCGCAAACCGAAACGATACATATGTTACATAGCAAACCTGCCAGCAACTTCAATATTCGTGGATTGACATGGACCTGGATAAAGTCCTTTCTAATAGGTCGTCAACAACGTGTCGCGTATTGGAGATGCTTCTCTGAGTGGGCACTGGTCAGTTACTTCAGGTGTCCCCCAGGGCAGTGTCCTTGGGCCCCCTCCTGTTTAATCTGTTTATTAATGACATTTCTCATAACTTATCCACAAACTGTGCACTCTTTACGGATGATACACTCCTCTATCAGCCAATCAACTCACCCCAAGATGAACTCTCCCTCCAGTCGGACCTAACTGCACTTGAACAATGGAGCAATCTCAATGGTATGCAGCTGAATACAAAGAAAACCAAGGTCATGCACATATCCAGATCCCGGAAACCAGCAGTTCTTCCAAGTTACATTCTTCATGGTTAATCGCTCAATGTAACACCTACATTCAAATATCTTGGGATTATCATCAACGACTCACTGAACTGGAACGATCACGTCGATGCCACTGTCTCAAAGGCCAATAAGACATTAGGCTTTATCTGGCATATTGCAGGTGGTGCTTCAACCAAGGCCTTGACATCCCTCTATCGTTCACTTGTCTTGCCCGTACCAGAATATGGGTTGCCAGCTTGGTCC